CCTCCCTTCCCAGGAGCTCTAGGCCTGGTCAGGCCACTGTCCAGTGGTGGAGGGGTAAAGTGGCAAGGGCCGGGCCTCTTCATCCGGGGACTCCATCCTGCACCAGCTGATAGCAGGAAGTTCTTAAAAAGCCACTTGCAAATGGTACACATAATCATGCGACATTAAAGATGAACTTTTAAAAAAGGAAAAACAACATGCAATTGCTCCCTCTTGCCCCGGAGTGCAGTACTTATGGGCTTTGTGAGTTCCGTGGGTCACGGAGCGGCTCCTGGTCCCTTCTCCTTCTCCTCCTTTATCCGCCCACCAGTCACCCGCAGCTACGGGGCACCACAGTGGGCAAGAGGACACTCCAAGGACAGACACAACTGTCCCTTCGCAGGGGCTCAGCCCTCAGCCGGAAAGGAAGGCAAGCAGCGACTCTGCCAGTGTGCAGGGGACAGGCACAAGCCCTGGGAGCTGAGGGCCACGTGGGCCGCCCAGGCTGAGTGGGTGGAGGGCTTCCTGGAGGAGGTGACCTGGTGCAGTGCTGTGGGGCTGGGTGGGACATGGCAGGTGGCTGGGTCTGAGAAGTAAACCCAGCGCAGGGGGTGCACATCCTTGGCTTCGCTGTTGCCTTTAGCCAAGTTCCTCGGGTTCCCCTGCCGCCCTCTCTTCTGCCAGTCACTGGTCCACTTCACCCGGGAGCCGTTGCTGCCCTCCCTCTTGGAGTCTGGGGTGGGTACCGGCAGTGGAGGACGGAGGTGGAGCCGGCAGGGAAGGGAGGCGGCGAGAAGGGGGAGTTTTCGACTAGGGAGGAGAGACAGCGTCATGGGAATCTGAGTTGGGCTGAGCTCCAGGCTCACAGCAGGGCCCCCCATAACGCTTGGGTGACCCCAGACGGGCCTCTGCGGAGGATGGGGATGGGACGAGGACCTCAAAAGGCAGAGGACGGACAGAAAAGCTGCTGGGGAAACTACCCGTTTCCGAAGCAGCCTGGGCTGCTAATGAGAAGCAGAGGAGGGGGTAACGGGGACCAACTTGCCCGGGGCCAGCTCCCAGCAGCCCCGCCGCAGTGCACTGAAAGGGTAGCTGGCCGCAGGATGTAGGTGGGAAGGGCCGCTTTCCCCACCTGGTCCACCCTGCAATCTCGGCTGCAGGAGGAGGGCCAGGTGGCCGTGTCCAACGGGAGGCGGCTGGGGGTGCGGAGGAAGCACAGAGGCCCTCTGGTCAGCTCCCCAGGACTTGGGGCCCACAGGTGGCCTCTCAGTGGCCATCAGCAACCTGAATCAGGCCCAGAACAGGACGAGCTGGCAGGGGGTCGGGCACTCACAGGAAGAAGAAAATCTGGGCCCAAACCCCAGGGGGGTTAAAGCGTGGATGGGTGGCGGATGCAGGGAGCCCCCGGTCTGGTGAGCGAGGTGGGGGTGCAGAGGTCTTCCTGCCCGAGGCAGATGTGGATGCTGCCTACCAGGAAGCACTTACAGTCAGGGTCAAGATAGGGCGATACAGCAAGCGCTGCTGCTGGGACCAGCGCTTATACTATTACTACTGTGAGTACGCATGTGGTCATCTCACTGTGTGGCCCAGGCAGCTCTCGAACTCACTGTGATCCTCCTGCCTCAGCTTCCTGAGTGCTGCGATTACAGGTGTGCACTGCTATGCCCGGGCCAACGGCAATCTGGAATGGAGCACTCATCCCCTGCCACAGCCCTGGCTCCCGATCTGCTCCCATTTAACCTTATCCATCCAGCCCAGCTCAGCCCCCGTGCTGCAGGAGGGTGAGCCAAGGCAGGGGCAAGGAAGTCACTGGGCCAAGGTCACAGCCTTGAGGAGCCCACCAGGCCCTGACCTCCCAGCCCTTGGTGCCTGCTTGTGATCGGGACACCAAGGGGCCAGGAGCCAGGAGCCAGAGCCGTCTCTCGCATCTCCTGCCTCCGTGTTGCCCTCTACCTACACTGGCTCTGTCCTCTCCCTCCTGTTCCCTTTGTCCCCTTCCTATGCCCCCCCCCACTTCCTTCTCTTTTCCTGTCTTTCCCTTCAGACTCAGTCTCCATCTCGTCCTCCCTCCCCAACCCCACGCCCAGCAAGCCACTGCCCCAGAAGGGGATGAGCAGACCAAGGGCGGCCCGGGTCCTTCCCCAGGGCTGGCCAGCGGGGCTGCCGGCACACTGCGCAGGGCCCCAAGGCCACATTGCCCTAAAGGACACCAACAGCCAGGGGAGGCTCTGGCGGAGGCGGAGGTGGCTGGACGCGGGCAGGACAGCCCTCGGGCTCTGCTGAGTGCCCTGGCCAGGGTCACGGAGCAAATGGCCCTCCCTCCTGTTGCCTCTCGCGCTGCTCTCCCTGCCCTCTTTCTCTCCTCCCTTCTTTTTCTTTCTCACCCCACCCCGCTTCTCGGGCTCTGCATTTCTGAGAGCTTGCGTTTTTCTACCCCTCTCTCTCCTGCGCTCTCCCCCTTCGACATCCCTCCTCCTCCTCCTCCTCCCCTATCGATCAGTCTCCCCAGCTCCAGCCAACACCGAGGCCTTGGACGGTACTCACAGTCTTGCTTTAAAATTTATTGCCCCGTAAACGAGGCGGCAGATGGAAGTCTCCGCCACCCTGCCCCCACCCCGCCCGTCTCCTCATCCCGACCAAAGCCAATCGAGACGCGAATGTCGTCCATCAAACGCACCAACGTGTGGTTATTTATAGGCCACCCCCTTCCAAGAAAGCAGGCGGATTTTTCCCTCCTCTCTTTCCTCTGAGCTTCCAGTGCTGGGGAGCAGAGAGGGGGGACGGTCATCCCTCAGATTCTAGGGTAGGGGGGCGAGGAAGTGTCTTGATTGGAAATGAATTAATTAGAAGTGAGGCTCTTCAAGTCTCCGAGTTGGGTTATTTATAGTGTTCGGTTAATTTTGATAATTAACACTGGGGAGGATAGTGAGTTCCGGGCAACTCGGTGCCCGCCAACAGAGACACACTTCCCGCGCCACCGGCTCCGCCGCCCGCCCCGCGCTGCTCCATTTGGGCTGTGTCGAAATAGGCTGCTCCCTGCCGGAAGTCCCTGGGTCTTCTAAAAGTAGAGCGTGAAGGAGAGGCCAAAGGCACAGGGCCTCAGGGGCTCAGCTGTCGGGGCTCCAGGCCTCGACTCTCCCTCCCGCCTAGGACCAGACCAGCGCGCCTCTTCTCTCCTGGCCAAAGTTCCTGGGGACGCAGGTGCCAGGCTGGTCTGCGTGGCATCCTGCAGTGTAGCCCACCGAACAGGACAGTGGGAGAGGCACACCCTTGACAGAAGGGACAACCCTTCTGCCAAGACAGCTGGGGAGAGAGAGAGAGGCCGGATTAACTAAGATGTCAGGAGCGGGAAACGACCAGACAGCCACCAGGTTCAAGAGAGAGAAACAGATGAGCCGGGAGCCTCAGGAAAGCAGGGACTTTTGATCGGAGCCCGCTGCCTGCAAGGGGTAGGGACATGGGCCTTCGGAGCTGGCCCCCAACGTGCCTGGCCAGCTCCATCTCTACCCACTTCGCCCCTCAGCCCCCAACCGCCCCCTAACTGACTGGTCAGCATTTTGAGACCTGGCATGGATGCTGCCGTGCCCCGGTTCATGCTGACTGCTCAAACGTCCCCTCGGCTGGGAATATCCTCACTGCTTTCCTCAGGGGCCACCCCTGCTCAAGGCCTAGCCCCTGCGCTGCCTGCTCTGGGCCTTGCCGCTTGGCCGCCTTCCCTGGTCTCCCTAACCTTGCTAGTGGAATCCTCCTGGGACAGAGAGAGCTGGTGAAAAAGACGGGCCTCGGGACTGTGGATACAGCTAAAGCGTAGAGTGCTTGTCTGCCACGTGCGAGGCCCCAGCACCTCAAAAAAGAGGTGCTGCCAAGGCTTGGGGCTGGATTCTGAAGGGTCCGGCAGGCCCCGCCTCTGTGCAGTTTGGCCTCTTCCCTGGAAGTGATGGGGAACTGTGTTCATGCTCAGCGGTTCACGAGGCAGGGACAAGGACCAAGTCCCCACCCCGGGGGGGGGGCAGGTGGACCACCCAGCACAGGTACAGGAAGCGGTGGGCGGCCTCGTCCCTGGGCAGCCTCCTGTCCCCCTGGAAGGAGCGCAGAGGCGGTCCGGAACATGGAGAGGAACTTCAAACGCCACTGTCCTGTCTCACACTCTCAGAGGGAAGCTCCACTCCGGGTCTGCCAAGGGCCGGAGCCAGACCGGAAGTGGGATTTGTGTCCCAGGGCCAGCTCCTGTCCTGTCACTCCTGCAGCCCTGCCAGCCCCGCCTCCTCCTTCCCTCCGGCCCCTGCAGATGTCTCAGGTGTCTCCATCGAGTCCCTCCCTAGTGCCTCATCCCTCCCCTCCCCTCCCAGCCTCCATCCCTAACAGACAAGGCGGCAGAGAGGTGGAGCCCTGCTTCCCACCTCCCCGTCATGGCTGCAGTGTGCGCTGTGTCCACTCAACGGTCCCCTCGTCCCCACCCTTGCTGACCCACCCGCAGCGCTTCCCTCCCAGGCACCTGCGCTCTGGACCTTAGCCCGCTCCGTCCTGAATTGTCTGTGTGAGGCTGCAGCCCTCGCAGGGACAGCACGTGGGAGCCCTGGCAGCTCCCGGCCCGGCCCCCGGACCCCAGGCCACCAAGACCAACCCTCAGACACCTCGGAGTGCTCTGCCCTCGCTTTTCAGCCAGGCAGCCTTCGGGGAGCCGCTGCTCCGTCTCCAGCTTCCTCTGAACAGAGAGCACATTTTTAATTAAAGTGGAAAAAGAGCTGAAAATCTGTTCGCATTTAATCATCTTGACGACCTTTTTGCTTAAGAGTTTCCAGCTGAGGGGGGAGCGCCGGGGAGGGGAGGTGGGGGCATTTCTGAGCCGGGCCTGGGTGGGCAGAGGGAGGGCGGCCCCTTCGGGATGAGTAATGGAGCAGGAGAGGCGGCGGAGGCTCTGAGTGCCGACTCAGCACTTCCTCCGAGCCCCAGCCCCCCTCCTGGGCACCCGCTGGGCTGCCCGCGAACCTGGCCCCCCCCCAGGGCGTGGGGGCAGGGCTGAGAAGTGGGCCTGGAGGGGCCCTGTCATGACCCAGGGAGAACCCTGCCACCTGCCGCCTGCCCACCGCCCTCTCCCCGGGGACCCGCTCTGTAGCCCCTCTCTGCACCACCCCCAGCCCTGGAGCATGCAGTGTGCTGGTGGGCCTCAGTTCCCCCAGCTGGAGTTAACGTCCGAGCTGCCTTCCACTTCCGAAGCCCACCTCCCAGCCTACAATGTGTAATGGGAACCCCAGGTGCAAAACACTCCTATTTGGGGATCCCGTTGCACCCCGGGGTCTCCAAGGCCATGGGCTTGGCTGTGATGGAGCAGAGAAGAAAGGAGCAGAGGAGAAGAGAGAAGAGGAAAGGGAGGGGAGGGGAGAGGACAGGATGTATAGACGCTCTCTCCAGGTTCCAGAAGACTACTCCCTCCGCAGAGTAGGGGCGGCTCCCTGGCAAGGACTCTGTCCCCTTCAGACTAGAGTGTCCGCAGCTCAGGGCCGCAACTCCTCCCTCCTCCGGGATGGTGGTCCTTGGGCAAGCACAGCGGGTGACACTGGAAGGGCTGGCGCAGAAGGCACTGGGCCGCCTCCTGCCCTGACGTTTGCAGCCTGCTCTCAGGGGTCTTCCAGAAGAGCGGCCGCCCCCCTCGAGACGGGTAGGGCTGGGAATGAGTGATCCCCCTCCGGGCCCCCGGGCGTCCTCCCCAGACCGGCAGGCAGCATGACTGAGTCCAGACTACGTCCACGGCCTTTGGCCTCCCTGCTGGAAACCAACCCAGACAACTGCACTTGACCCCACTTCCCAGACGCGCGGGAGTGCAGATAAGCTTGGGCCCGGGACGGCTCTTCCGCCAGGGATTCCCGTGGGAATTTCGATAGGACCCAAGGCCTAGCACAGCTCTGGATCTTATCTACAACCGGAAGGACCCTGGGCCCTAGTCTCCAGGGGCTGAAATGTCATCTCACCCCTCATCTGGTCTCCAGCCTGAGGGCCAGAAGCCGCCATCAGTAATAGCATCAAATAGGAGGCTGAGTGAGGTATGTCTGCTTCCTGGGTGTCGCATGCATTCACACCCAGTGCTTCTGGACTCCTCAAAGCAAGTCTAGGAGGCCTGCATTTTAGGCTTAATTTACAGATGAGGAAACGCTCAGAGCGAGGAAGGCACTGGCCCGTGGCCACACAGCAAATAAATGGTACACTGGCGCCCCAGCGGCTCACCCTCTCGTCTCCCTGCTTTCCAGCTTCCCAAAATCTCCAGCCATGGTTTTGCCATATTTAGTTTTCCTTTCAAGCCTCTTGCCTGCCCTCGAATGCGGGACACAAAGCGAGAAAGAGGCTGAACCCTCCAGAATCCTTGGGTACAAGGAAGATCAGAGTTTTGAGTGGGGAAGAACCTCCTCGTGGAAGGGAAGGTACTAGAGGAGGGAGGAGGGCAGAGGCTGGGGTGGCCGCTGGAGTCCGTGAGGGGCCTGGGTGCCCCGATGCCCACCCAGGAGCCCTGCATCTCCCCTGCATTCCTACTGCAGGGCCTGGAACTCTCCAGGTGGCAGCGCTGCCCAGTGGGCACCAGCCCCCAAGACACATGGAGCCTGGGGAGATTCGAGTCCCTACCACCAAGGTTGGAGAGATCAGTCCTCAGGGTTCCTGGATGGCACCAGGGCAGAGCTGGCTCCCAATGGGTGCAGACAGAAAGACGGAAGCCTCTGACCAGCTCCTCTGTGAGGCCTAAGGAGAAAGGCAGCGCTCCTGGTGGCTCCAAGGTGGGAATGTGGGTCCTCTGGGTCTTTCTCAGGGCATGGAGGGGCCTGGGAGGCTGAGCAAACAGCGGGGGAGGGCGGGCACTGTGCAATTGGCCCACTTTGATGCTCGAGTTAATCTAACTGGACTCCAAAATTGCTAATTCCTCCCACCCCTCTGGCCACTAACTCGGCTCAGGATCAAACCTCCGGGCCCCTCCCCGTGCCCTCCGTGGACAGGCCCCCCCTTGTGGCCCAGAGGAGTCAGCTCCCAGGCAATCCCTGCCAGCACGCTTCAAAGCCACCGAGGCGGCTCCTAATGGGGACAGCAGGTTTCACTTACCTTGCCTGGCCGGCTGCCCAGGGCAGATGGGATGCAGCTGGCGCGGCCTGCACTTCCGCCTTCCCTCAGCCTTTCTCTCCCGCAGAAATCCTTGTCTCAACGCCCACCTCTCACCCCTCTGCGCTTGGCCTTGGGCACTGGGGCTTGGAAGCGACTCGCTCCCTTGAGGCAGGAGTGAGAGCTGGCGGGGATCAGGCCCCTGCCCACATCGCCCAGCCTCCGGGCACAGATTCTGCACTGCAGGTCAGAGGGCTGGAGGGAGAGTGAGTGTGCCGCAGGGGCCCACTGTCTCCCCGGCCCGCACAAGGCTGCTCGGGGCTGCCCGGGGTGTGAAGGGCAGCGACCCGGGGAAAGGAGGGTAATGGCGAGAAGCGTGACTTGCAGGGCCATGTGCAGAACAGGGGACACCAGGACATCCTTCGGGGGCCCTCGGGCCAGCGGCTTAGCCTCCTGAGCCCCAGTCTCTGTCTAGAAAACGGCCATCCCTAAGTTACCTTGCGGGACTACAGTGCGGACAAGGGAGGTGCCGGTGGGGTTCCTTCCCCCGGGAGGGCTGAGCAGTGCGAGTTCTCATTGTCTGCCCTGCTGTCTCTGCTCAGAACAGGGTGGCAGCTGCAGGCTGGCTCCGGGGCGGAGACCAGGTCCAGGGGCCAGAATGGAAGTGGGGACAGGGAACTGCGTGACGAAGCCTGGCTTCCTCCGGGGCAGGGTGACAGCGGGGAGGGAGGGGAATCGGGCGTCCAGCTCTCACCAGGAGCAGCAATCCCTGCAGCTTCGACTGTGGATGCGGAGAGGCAGGTGGCGGTGCTGAGGATGTGGCAGTCATGGTGATGATGGCTTGACAGTGGCCATGGCAGTCGCCTGGTGACGGCTGGGGTTGTTTGGTGATGATGCTCATGGTGCTGGTGTGGCGGCGGTGTAGTCAGTGTGGTGGTACAGGTGGTGACGACAACGCTGATGGCGGCCGCTGTCGTGGTGCCTGGGAGTGGTGGTGATCGTGGTGGCGCTGGGGTAGCTACAGGTGGCCACGATGGTGGCAGTGTGGTGATGATGGGAAGGTGATGCTTGTGATGTCACTGGTCCTAGCAGTGGTGGTTCTGGCCCGGCGTAGTAGCGCACGCCTGTAATCCCAGCACTCAGTAGGTTGAGGCAGGAGGATTGCTGCGAGTTTGAGACCAGCCTGGGCTACAAAGTGAGCTCAAGGCCAGCCTGAACTGCCTAGCAAGACCCTCTCTCAGAAAGACAAAACAAACAAACAAACAAACAAACAAGTGGTGGTTCTGGTGTAGGTGGCTGTGGCCATGGTAATGCAGGTATCCCAGCAAACACACATCCTGATCACAGCTATGCAACCTGCAGTATGACCAAGCCAAGGTGTTGCATTATAAAATACCCCTCACAACAAATTACTAACCCACTAGAAGGTCAGCTCTGGGAGGGCAGCTGCCTTTGCTCACTACAGGGTCCCCAGTGCCTAGAAGAGTGTGTGGCCTTATAGTAGGTGCTCAATAAACCCATGCTGGATGAATAAAAAAGAGATGGAGTCCTTCCTGCAATGAACACTGTTTCCTCACTTGGCCCTCACCAGGTCCTTTCAAAATTCCCATTGTACAGATGACAAAACTAAGGCCAAGAGATTTGAGACAACTTGCCTAAGTCCCCACGAAAGTGATCTGTGGGCGTGGGGGAGGTCAGCATCCTTCCCTGGGCGTCTGACTCCCCACACAGTGCTCTCTCCTCCATATGCTTGATGGCCTTCCACCAGCACACAGCACTACATTTCAGTCTTGAGCTCCGGTTTAATCATAGAAATCCTGCTAATAATAGTAACCATTGCTGTTTGTAATTGTTCAAGTAAGGCTTAAATGATCAAGACCATGGAAATTATTAATAACCCGGGCCCAGCCATGGTGGTGTGGGTCATATTAAAGTGTGTTGAGATGGATAACCTAGGCAATAATAGTAACTGGCATCATAAATTAATAACAGGAGTATTTAAATTAATGCCACACTGTTGATACCCTTGATAGTACACAGATCGACGCTGCTGTTAGCACTAATGTTGCCCCTTCCTGTCTGCCGTGAATAGCGGAGGAAGGCAGGGCCATAAAAGCAGCAGTGGTGGGAGATATCTTAGATGTGATCCCTGTCCCAGAGGGAGGAGAAGGTCTTCTGGGACTCCTGAAGAGGTGCCCACTCCCTGGTTTCTTACAGCCAGTCTTGGTGGCCCATGAACAATTAATGCACGAAGCCACAGTGATGTCTAGCTGTGCTCTCTGAGGCTGTTCCCTGGACTTTCTTGATTACACAAGAAAAATTTACAGGCAGATCCCCCCCACACACACACACCATGAATGAATGAATGAATGAATGAACTTCAACTGCTCAAGAAAATGACCCACCAATGGTGACCTGATCGTCTGTATGAGACCTTTTTGTCATCACCCCCCCATCATTTAAGAGGGGACTTTGCAAAGGTGCTCCTTTAAAGTTGTGTGCTCCAGGACCCAATGTCTAGGAACAAGAATAGGGCGCAGACAGGCAGAAGTGGCAACGGTGGGGGAACAGTACTTTGCACAGAAGATTGGTGGCACAGTCCTGGGCCAGCAGTACCTGTGATCTGACCTGTCACAGTTCCTACAGAATGACAGTGGGGGCCCTAGGGACAGCCACATATCATAGACCTCACTTTCCACTGACTGCCTAACACAGGCCATTACTGAACACTAACTATATACTGGGCCTGGTCTGCAGGAAGCTCATCCCTCCATGGCAATGCTCAGTTCCGTGAAGTTTCTGTTGCTGGGGTGCATCTAGGGGTGGGTGTGCGGGTTCAGAGTATGTGCACTTTGTGTGACCGGATACATTCGAGGGCTTCTGGCAGATGTGCTTGCTCGTGTGCATGTGTAGGGATTTGTGAATGGCACATGGGGTGTGCCTGCGTGTGGAGGGGCGTGTGTAGAAAGCCCCGGTTCACGTGAGTGTGTAATGTCGCGGGGGCATATTTGAGAGCACGGGCGCACATGTAGGCTGCGTGTGCCGGGATTTCATGTACACACCTGTGACTTGCAAATCCATCATTTGAGAATTCAAATGTAGTTGGGATAGACTCCACCTTGAACGCCCCTTGCACACCACCTGCACCCTATGCTTTTGCCCAGAGATCCCAGCACTGGAAGGGGGAGTGACGGGAGAGACAGAGAGGGCAGCGGGCTTTCTTGCTGATAACTGCGGCGGGGTAGGGAGCCAGACACGGGGAAGCAGCTGAAACCAGAGGCGGAGGAAGATGCGTAGGAGCGTGAACCCTGCGGCGGGCTGCAGCCGGAGGGAGAGGAACGCGAGCAGCGGCAGGGGCGCCCCGGCCCTCGGGCCCACGGCGTCCGGGACCTGCGCAGGCTTGGGCACCGGGTACCGGGGCCGGTGGGCCGGGGGCGCACAGAGGCGGCG